ACCACCTCCTTGTCATAGAGCCAGGGTGGGATGGAGAACTGCATGGAGGGCATGAAGGCCGACAGCTCCAGCCAGCGCACGTACAGCTCCCGGTCGGGGATCTCCACCGCTCCATTGGTTTTATTGGGGAAAAAATTGCCCCCTATCATGTCAGCAGATATGAAGGGGTACCCCAGCATGCTGATGGTGAGAACAGTGGGGATGAGTGACTTGAGGCCGAGCTCGTAGCCCCAGACAGAGTCACGGTCAATGATGCGGAAGAAGCAGGAGATGTTCTGTGACTGGTAGCCCACGCGCACCTCGGCCAGCTCGTAGAAGGGGATGGCCATCTCCGTGTAGCGCCGGGACCAGATGCTGGGGTCTGACAGTGGGCGGAAGGTGCTGAACTGCTTGGGCAGGTAGCTGGTCTCACCCGCATCAAACTTGAAGGATGAGATGCCGTACTTGTGCTGGAGCTGGCGCAGGTGGCTCTGGAACCAGTCGCGGGCTGCTGGGTTGGTGAAGTCCAGGATGGCCCCGATGCCGTTCCACCACTCCACCATGGCTGGCAGCCTCCCTGATGGCTCCTTGATGAACAGCTGACGCTCGATCCCCACGCCAAAGTTGGAGGAATTGTAGTTTACGAAAGGATGAATCCACAGAGTGACCTTAAATCCATCCTCCCTCAGCTTTGCAAACATTTCTGTTACATTGGGGAACTTGACAGGGTCAAAGTCAAAGTCCCCATAGGCTTGGGTGTACATGTCATCAATCTCAATGTGGCTGCAGTTAAAATGGTATTTCTTGATCTTTTCAGCAAACCGCAAGAGTTTATCCTGGTCGATATCATTCTTGTAGAGGGCCCACGTGGACCATATGGGGTATCTGAAGGCATTCTCAGCAGGGATCTTGGAGGGTTTGTTGAAGTACCTGCGCACCATGTACTTGTGGATGGAGGTGACATCGGAGCCCACGCAGACGCGGTAGCTGAGCTCGGGGAATGGCTGCTGGCCCGGGGGTGGCTTGTAGGGTGAGTCCTTGTAGCGGGCCTGGAAGAAGAGGGTGCGCTCGGTGGCATTGAAGCCCAGGTGGAAAGGCACGGAGTCGTTGATCTTGATGGCCGCCGCCTTGGAGGAGAGCCAGTAGCGCTCGAGGATGCCGCCAAAGCTGTCACGGAAGGAGTAGACGTCGCTGGTCACGTAGGGCACGGGCTCCTGGTAGCCGGCCAGGCGGATGGGCCAGTGCTGCGTGCTCATCTCTGAGCCCCCGTACCAGTGGGTGTCCTCCCAGAACATGGTGTGCTCCACGGCCGGGCCGGCCTCCAGCTCCTCCCAGCGCACGCGGTAGCACATCACCGTGTCCTTGGGCTTCACTGTCTGGATGAAGAAGTTGAGCGGCCCCCGGCTGGAGCGCGAGCAGCTCAGGATCTCGCCCTCCTTGGAGCACGACTCCAGGTCCAGGCTGCCCGAGCGGAAGGCCAGCCTGAACACCACCTCCCCGTGCTGGTTGCGGATGACGAAGCCGTCCGCCCGCAGGTCCATCAGCTCCGTCTTGAGCCGCTCCGCCTTCCTCAGGGACACCGTGTAGTAGCACCAGGCCACCACTGCAGCAATGAACAGGATGAGGCCCAGCAAGATGGCGCCCAGCATGGGCCTCAGCTCCTTGGAGGGCTTCTGCTTCACTGGTGTGAAGTTCTCTGGCAGGAAGGTGTACATGGTGCTGCGCTTTCTCTAGAGCTTTCTGCAGAGGCGTGGGAAGGAAGGACGTCTGGGGTTCTCAGGAGAAGACACTGAATTGTTAGGAGAGCTCCCACCTCCACCACGTCCCAGAGCACCCGTTTCTGAAAAAGGAGATGATAAAAATAGTCTGAGAGAATCTCTGAATCAAGGGACAGCGTGTCATCCACTTGCTCCCCCTGGCCCCTTCTGCCCGTCTGTGACGTGCCAGGTGCTGTGTTCCAAGTACCAAACATCATCTCCAGTTACTCCGGGCAAGACAACACATGCAGAGACCAGCCTGAGCCCTACCCGGGGAACTGCCCTAGGGCAACAAGGACCAAGTCATTGCTATATTTAATGTTTTTTTGTTGTTGGGAAGACTTTCAGTGAGGCAAGAGTGGAGACTGGGTGGCAGTAGAAGGAGGCTGAACAGGAGCCAGATCAGCCCACTGACAGTGTCTTAAAGAGACAAGGATAACTGAGAGCTATAAAAGACACCACGTAATGAATTCCATGCAGCCAATCCTAATTTTAATCACACTGCCTCCCTGGCAGATTTAATTCATCTGCAGCAACATCGCCTTCCTGTCCCAAGCATGTCCCAGCTGCTCCACTTGGGTGATACCTTGCAGTGAAGGTGGGTAAATCCCTGCTTCTCCACAGCTCACAGAGAGCCAAAGAGGGCTGGGGTACTAGTCTGGGTTTTGGGGGGCATGTAGGGGGTGCAGAGAGTGGCACAGAATGGCTGGCTCCTGCTATGTGCTCAGAGCAGCTCTGGGTGGAAAAGAACCTCCTTAACCTTGTAGGAAAGGTTAACCACTAACCACTTGTTTGAGCAGTGGGCCCAAAGGGCCCTTCCTCCATGCAGCAAGGCTCCAGGCTGTGTTTCAGCTCAGTCCACTCTCCCCTGCATGGCCCCGGGGAAGTGGGCTGTGCCAAGAGCCTAATGGCTTTTCCTTGGCCACGGCCTGGCTGGGCTCTGCCAAGCATAACGCCCGGGATCCAGGGGGGGAAAGTAAAGTAAGGACATGGGAGAGCGAGAAACAAACACAGCTGCAAGAGGAGTAGGGGAGGGAGAGGAGCTGCAAAGCCGCAGACCAGCTGCCTGATATCTGCCTGGTGCCAGCAAACACAGTCACCTCCTTCCCAAGCTCTGGGGCTCTAAATCTCCTGGCTGTGGGCAAACCAGAGGGGAAAAAACCTCTTCTCAGGCAAAAATGAAACCAGCTGCAGAGACTCCCTCTAATGAAGTTGTTTTTTCTCTTAACAAAAAGGAAGAAAAAGATCCAAAATTAATTACAGAATCAACTCCCTGCCACAGTCATGGCAATCCAGAATAAGTATTTCTCTGTGCCTCAACAGATCTTTCTCCCCAAGAAAAGAAAAGTAAAGCAGAAAGAGGTCCTGAACGCCACTTAAGCCTTGCTGCTCCACTGCAGGGATGCCATGTGCAAACCCACAGCAGCAACTGTGCACAGGCTCGACAAAACATTCTCTGTTTACACTCATCTTGAAGCACGTTTTGGACAAGACCTTGCAGTTGGGGGAACTTTTTGTGTAGCCAGACGGGTCATTCTAACCTTTCCCTGGGAGCCAGTAACTTTCTAGACAGCCAGTTGCTTTAAATGGGATTATAGAGGCATTAGGAAGTGATTAGCCTGAACAGGCGATAGGTTTAGTTAAACGACTTGTCCCACGGCCAACTCCAACAGAGCCCTCACTCGCCAGTGAGGAGCTCGGGCAGGGGATGGGGACAGCTCCAACCACTCCAGTGTGTCACCCAGCGCTGGATCCTGCCCCCCAGGAGGGCAACGGGGCTCTCACCCACACAGTATTTGTGACGCAAGGCCAGCTGAGCCCAGCCAAAATTGGGCAATAAAGACGGAGGAGGTGGTGGTAGGATGAGGCTGTGTTTGGGACAAACCTTCATCCCTGCCTCAACTCTTATTTGGCTTTAAGATAGAACCAGAAGCAGCACAGGGCTCTCCCAGGGATGGTGGGGAGGAGGGCTTGCAGAAGGACCTTGGCCAAAACCAGCACAGCTGAGCGAAGCCACAAAGTGGCAGGGTGCTTCTGGAAAGAGAGACAGCTACTCTGAGCCCAAACACTCTCAGCACTGGGAGGTTTTGGGATGCCAGAGAGAGAGGGACATGCAAATACCTGTCACTCTGGAAGCATGCCTGTGTCTCACTCATGCCTCATCTGGGGACTGCAAAGCTCAAGACGCAAAAAAATAAAACGCACCTTCCACCAAACAGGACTTGCAAATTATTTGGGAATTTTTTTTTAAAGCTTTCACATTTCTTTACAAAAAAAAAGAGGAGAAAACAGCGTTTTCTTTGCCAATTCTCATTCAGGGTTTTAAAACCAAGAAATATCTGATACTGCTGCTGTGGCTCCATCTAAAATTGACAGCAGCTCCCAGGGCTTCAGGGAGTTTCTGGATTTTCATCTCCCTTTCAGGAAGCTGGTTTATTATTTATGAACTACTTCGAAGCTGCTCTATTTTTAGGCTGTTTCTTTCTTTCCCCCCCATAGACTGGAGCTCATGGCACACATGAGGAAGCTGCCACTGTCAGTAGAGAAAAAAGTGGTGTTTGAGAAAGGTTTTGCAGCCTCTTGAGTCCCTTGGACAGCGATCTGCCTCAAAGGGATGTGCAAACTGAGTGATTGAGCTGGTGGATTTAATCCTACTCTGACTGCTATGGCTGGGCCAGGATCAAACTCTGTGGCTGCTGATGGACATTGCCCACTTGGACACCATTTCAACAAAGATGATGAGAACAGTGTTTGCAGGCATCACCCAGTGCAGCGACAGGCCAAGGAGGGAGGTCTCCAAACACAATCTTGGTCTGTGCCGTCTATTTTTTTTTCCTTGTTAACAAGAGTGTACGTTCTCCAGTGGGAGATTTGGCTCTGTCCCAGGTGAGAGCTAAGTCTCCCAGGCTCCCCAGAGACTTCTTCTGCCTCTCACAAGCTGCAGCCCGCAGAGGTGCCTGCTCATGCACTGCCTCTTTCAACATTTTTTTTTTGAGTATGTGTAATGCTAACTTGTTATTTTGCTCCAAGATGACATTGTGGCGACCTTTAAGTCCTCGAAAAAACAAACGAAAAAAAAAGAAAATGAGAAGGGAGAGTGTCAAAGTCAAACAGCATGTTTGGGGCTTGCTGTGCCGGAGCTTCCCAGCTGACCCAAAACAAAGCTTTTTCTCTGTGTTCTGTGGAAGCAGTGAGTCGCCTTGCCTTGACTTGAGATGAAAGCAAAACATCTGAGCAGGACACACTTTACAGAGTAAAAATAAAAATCCATTTTTTGACCGCTTCTATTTTTACCAACACCACCGCTAACCACGGGCTGCGAGACCCACAGCACCACTAACCCCAGCCACTTTGCAATTAGGACATTCATTTAAAGAGGGTCAATAACATACAACTGGTCTCTATTGCCCTGACAGTGTCAGGTCTCAACCATGCTGGGGGCCAAGCTCCTGCTGGGGACACACACCCACTTCCCACGCCGGGATGCCAGGAAACCCTCCCTCTTCCACTGCAAGGTGCTACCACCTCCTCCCCAAACATCTTGGCAGGAGCTGAGCTCAGGAAATAGTACAGAAACACTGCAGATTTTACCAGGAGGCAACTCCAACCCCACACAACAGCAGGGAATTAGGACAGCAAGTTAAGGGAGAAATCTCTTCTCTGTAAAAAAGCTGTGGGAGCAAAAAAGCCTCCACGTGCCCAGTCTGGAACTCCTTATAGGGAACATGCCCTGACAAAGGACTTTGCACACCTGAGATGGGGACAAACAAACCCTTGCTGGGGGTTTAATTTCCCTTGGAGGAGTCTGCAGCAGAGCACTGGGGTTCTCTGGAGGGCTTTTAGGAGTCAAATAGGGTGAAATCACTGCTCCTCCCACTTGGTGCTGATGGAGCAGGTGGGATAGGTGGGGGCACCTTGGTGACAACACTGGCACAGGGCTGCTCCCCACACACCCTGCTTCCACATGGACCAGAGCGCCCTAATCCTGCGGATTCCCCCAAATACTAAGCTGGATCACTCTGGGGCTCTGGGTTTATCCCTGCAATACTCAAGCCACCTTGGGGGGCATAGACCCCCAGCCCCTGAGCCAGCGCAGCAACTCTGTCTTTGCAGGGACAGCGAGGGAAACAGGGTGCTCCAGGGGACTCCCCACCTTCACCGTCCTTGCTGTGGTCAGAGCAGGGATGGACACACTGCCTGGCCTGAGGGGCTCCTGGACACGCTGCGCTGGGGGGACTCACTGCACCTCCCACAAAGTGACAGACCCTTGTCAGGACTGCTGTAAATTCTCCACGGCATCCGGCTGTTGGACACAGCCCGGCATCCCCCCGGGGCACAGCGCCCCAGTGCTTACCTGGCCATGGCTTCCTGGGGATCCCTGCCTGCCGCCTGGCTCCACCACAGATGTCTTTTTAAGCACATAAAAAAGGAGCAGTGCCACATCTCCGCGTCCCCGGTAGCTCCATCCTCTCCATCACGCGGGGCGCTCCGGGGCTCCGAGCCGGCCGCTCGGTGAGCAGCGGTGTCCGCGGGCAGGAGGAGGGGACCAGCACGTCACCGTGTTTCCTCAGGCACCGTGCCGGATGTGCGAGCAGCCAACCCTCCGGCCGGGGTGTGCCAAGGCGAGCGGAGCCCGGCCAGGAGGGGCGGCCCCACACGGGCGTAGCTCTCACCAGCCTCGGTTCCCGGAGAGCCGGGATCAGGGCTGGCATCTCACCTCCCTGCCAGGTGAGCGGGAAGGGCCGGAGAAGGCGCATCCCCCTCCCTGCACTCACAGGAGCGTCGCAATCAGAAAGTAAAACGAAAAAAACAAAGCAACAACCCCAAAATCTAATACAGGATTTGGGGTGGTTTTTGTTTTCTTCCCCAAATCTTGTGATTTTAAGCAGAGTCATGATCCAGACGAATAAGGAGGTTGACTTGTGTGAAAAGAAACAAGCTGCCCCACTGCTGCTGGCTGGTTTGTAAGATAGGATTAAGCAGCACTGGGCACTCAGAGGATAAACCCCAAATCCAAGGTGGCCACGTGAATACAGAGCTCACCTGCAAAGTACAAACAGGCTGCCAGCACCTCGCTCAGCCTGCAACAGAAGGCAGGAGATTTGAAGCTGTGGCATTAGCTCTGCCCAGCCTTAAATACTTTCACCTTTATTATAGGAACCATGACTTTGCAGCCCAATTTTGTCCTTTAAAGTTTTCAGTGTAAAGTGATGTTCCAAACCCATTTAGACACCTCATCCAGTGTTTGACCATGAATACAGAGCAGCCACTGGGAACTAATTCTGGCAGCACACAACTTAATATTTAACACTCCTGACAATTCCCCCTTTACAATATCATCTTTATTTTTTCTTCATCCCTTGGTAATTACCAAGACAAGTTTAATAAGCTGAATTTTCACTTTAACCCTGCACACAGCTCACGGTGCTTTTGTCTCATGACTAAATCATGACCAGAAGCTTTTGCTTTTCCCTGCCTGGAAGCACATCGGGAGCCTGAATTTATCTGAGCCACAAAGATTTGTGGAAACTTTAAAACAAAATGAACCTTCCTGGTCCACTTGTATCAAAGTACATTGGGCATGAGGGAGAGAAAGCTCTAGGGCTCTCTCTTTAAGGCCATGTCTCTGTCCACCTTGGAGAAGTTCTACAGGCTCTGGGGGAGCTGGAAGGAGGGAGCCTGGCTCTGAAATTGTGGCTCATGGGGTAACTCTGAGTCCAGGAATCAGCTCCTCAGCACCTGCAGGGCCATCAGATCTCGTGCCCAACAGTGGCAAAAGCAGAACACCAAACACTGGTGCTATTAGCTTATTTTATTTGCGACTTTTGCCATGTAAGATGCACAGCCACACATTTTGGTCTTTGCCACTTTCTGTTGGTCCCCCAGCCCAACTCCAGCTGGTACCAGACATGTGCCATCTACCACCCCATCACTCCAACAGCCTCTCCCCAAAGACAACCCCCCCCACAAGTGAGACCTAGTGCCCTGTTTTGTCACACAGATTCTTTATTCAAAGAGCTGACTCAGCGGTTTGGGAGCGCTCAGCATTTTGGATGCTGATGCAGGCTGAAACCTGAGCCCACCCCAACATCCAAGCACTACAACACGATATGGGGGAGAAATGGAAACCTAAGTACATCCCTCTGGCACAGCCCTGCCGATTTTCCAGCCATCCAGTCACCATGAAACTCCAGGCACTGGCAGCTCCAGAGAGCTGTGGATGGCTCAAGATGCTGGGTTGTAGATTCAAGTCCTGGAATTTACATCCGTATCCAACAGTCAGTGACGCTGGACAGCCTTGGCCTAATCCAGTCACCAAACCCCTTAAGTGCTCCCTTGCAGTTCTTCCATGTGCAGATTCAGTCATGCAGGCATAATCTCACAAATGTCATTCTCCACTGGGCTGTAGGTGTCTAGTGTGCCAGGCATTTGCCCTTCGGACATCATGTGTATCCCAAGGTGGTAAAGAGGGAAAGGGGAGAAACATTTGTGCTTTCTAACACAGCGTTGGCTGCTCCTTGCCATTGCCATTGATGGCTGAGCTGTCCCAAAACCCACTCCAAACCCAACCCAGCACACAACACAGAGTTGCGTATACCATCTGCAAAGTTTTCGCTGCCGAGCATCTCATCAAACGGCAAAAGTTGAAGCTACACTTTGCAAGTGGTGCCGAGGACGTGTTTCCCGGCTGCGTTCACCTTCTCCGGGAGGGCAGACTCCCACCCAGCAGAGAACTCGGGCGGTCCCGGCACGGCGGGGTGCGGAGAGCTCGCACCCCAGGGTCCGGGCAAAGCTCAGCACCTTCATCCCACTCCCCGCGGGCCTTCCCGAGCCATCGCCGATGCCGCAGCCCGGGGTCTTCGGGAGCGGGACCCTCACCCGCCTCCGCCCGCAGCCCCCGAGCCGGACTTGCGCCCCCCGCCCCCGCCCCGAGCGCAGCCCCGGCACCGCTCACTCACCGGCACCGCCGGGCCATGGCCGGGTCTGCCGGGCCGGGGGCTCCGGGCGCGGGGCCGATCGCGGTTCCGGGGTTGGGCGCTGCCCGCTCCGCCCCGGCTCCCGCCCCGGACCGGCCCCCGAACCGGCGCTCCCCGATGGGAGATGTAGTTCGGCCCGGGGAGGGCAGCTCCGGGGGCTGGACCTGCTGGGGATGTCGGGGGTGAGTGGGGATGGCGATACCCCCGAGCTGAGAGGGATGGGGTTTGGCGCTGGCGGGGCTGTGTCGGGATGCTTTTGGGTCGGGATGTGGTTTTCATGAGGTGCTTTGGGACTGGGATGTGCTTTTCATGGAATGATTTTGGGTTGGGCCAGGTTTTTCAATGGGGTGCTTTTAGGCTGGGACATGCTTTTCATGGGATGGTTTTAGTCTGGGATGGGGTTTCACGGGGTTTTCCCTGCTCCCAGGAAGATTGGGGTACTGCTTGGTGTAGGCAAAGCATGGCAGGAATGTGGGTCCCCAGACAGCTCCGTGCTGGAGCATCGCCCCACTGTAAGGACCACAGTGCAGTGGATTTATGATCAGCAGCACACATGGAGGGGCTCGGGTGTTGTTGCACCCTGGGACTGTGCTCTCAGATCATAGTCAGACAAGGGCATTTCACGCCTTCATTAATTATGTGCTGCTTTCAAAGTATCCCTCCTTATTTAGCCTGTGTCAGTGCTCAGTATCCAGATGGATGGCAGCTCTTCCTGGACAACTTGCCAAAAGCAAGCACGTCCTCAGCAGCCCAGCATGAAGCCGACAAACACGGGTGTCAACGACTGCTTCTATTTTTGGCTGTGTTACTATGCTCTGAGAGCTTTCCTTGCATGCTCTCTTGGTCTCCAGCTTGTGCGTGGTGGGAGGGCACCAGCCTGCAAGGGCTGTTAAAGTGCCCACCAAATCAGCAGTCAATGAAGTTAGTTTCTCCACCCTTCCCAGAAACTTCCCTAGACCTGGGAAAGGGTCTGAGGGGAACAGTTGCCCAAGCCAGTTTTAATGAAAGACTACCTTTGCCCTTCACTGGTGCTGTGGGGCAAAGTAAGCCTCTGAGATAAACAAATGTACCCTGACATCGCCATCTCAGTGAGCCATTTCCAGTGGGTCTCCCTGCCAGCTAACACCACACTGTCTTGCATGGTCATTTCCCTACAATTCTCCTTACCAGACCCATGCCAGTCATGGCAGAAAACAGGACAACAGGAAAATATTACTGTTTCTCAGTGGAGAAGACCTTGAGAAATTTCTCTTTGAGGCTCTGACACAGGGACATATATGGGAAATCCAGTGCTCCCTCTTTATTCTTGTTGTTGCTTGGTTTTAGTTTCTGAACTCAGGAATTTAAAGCCAATCACATGTTTTTTGCTAAGTCTCACACCTAATTTTGGCCCACGGGGATTTGATGCAGTAGCAGAGTGATGACTGTGCTCATTGAATAGCATCTTTTCTGCCCTCTGCCCGGGGGCTGAAAAAGCTGTTTCAGCAACAGAGACATCCTGAAGGTAAACATGCGGGGATTAAAAGGTGTTGCCATACCTGCAGTGGGTGAAGGACAGGGCTGATTACAGTGTGGCCAGGGAATATGTTCTTGGTAAGTAGAGCACATAATGACAACAGGAAACACAAGAGCAGCACAAGAAACCCTGATGTGGCCCCAAAATCTGGGAGGTGCTAAGCTACATGCAGTCGGGCTCAGGGATGCCAGCAGGATTTCAGGTGTTGTACAGTCCCAAGCATGGCTGGATGAAACCATGCATAGAAACAATTGTTCTGGGAGTAAATCTGGCTTTCTTAATGATCTGTCGTAGAGGTCCCTGGGGATTATGGGGCACCAGGAGAGTATTCCCCAAGCAGCACTTAGTACCAGGGGATATTTATGCACCACTGGAAGTCAGAACCCTCAGGATGTGCAGATATCCCTGTGAGATGGACAGTCTGTCCAGGGAAGGAGATGGATGGCCATGGCAAAGCCACAAGCAAATATACTGAGAGAGCATCCCTTTTACACTGGGAGGAGGACACAAGATGCAAAGCGAGGATGAACAGACCCACTGCCAGCACCATCAGACCCCTGTCCCCATGGAGATGTGCTCTCTGTGACACAGAAGGACAGCTGGCACCTTGGCAGAACTTTTGGAGCTGGACAACCAGTTCATCTCAGGCCAATAGGCAGCAGGGGTGATGGCTGATGGTGTTCCTGTAATGCTCCTGCATTGACACCTCAATCAGCTGCTTGGGCTGACCTCCGCTCAATGGATTTTGTAAAAGGGGCATTGTTAATCCCTACAGACAGTAGGGAGTGGGAAGAGACACCCATTCCATGTGGCAGCATCTGCCTTCATGGCTGCCAGGACACACAGTGAAACTGATTACTAGCCAGGATCTTCAGCTGCATCTGGGAAAACATCAAGCCTCCCTTGGGGGTCATAGCAACGCTGCAATCTTCTCCCCAAGCTCCCCACTCACCCAAAACCATGGGACACAGGATGACATCACTGGCTCCT